GAAGACAGGGATATTCAGGGAAGGCTTCATGGAAGAGGCAGCCTTTGATCTCAGCCCTAAAAGGCTGAGAAGGATTTTCATGGACTAAGAAAAGGACAGTGGGGAGGGCATTCTAGGAGGAGGGAAAAGCTTGAGAAAAGGTACAGGCAGAGGGCCCAAAGCAGATACTGTGCTTGGGAAAAGGTGAGTTATGTGTGGCCACAGCACAGGTTTGCAGCAGGACTTAGCAGGAGATGAAGTTAGGGTGGACTAACTAGTTTTAAGGGCAGGTTACAAAGGACTGGGGTTTGAGTTTTGTTTGGTAGGTAATGAGAAGCCATGGAGAAGAACGATGTGATTCCAACTTCCAAGTGGATGGAAGGCTCCACTTAGTCCCTTCACCACAGTTCAGCTATTCCCTCCTCACTTCCTGGATTATCCTTCACGTGAACACACATAGGACTCTGCTGGCCTGAGCCGCCTGTCATGTGACCCTCACTCTGCCCTTCCCCGCCCCTGTTCCCCCTGGTGTTCTGACTGGTGAGGACCCTAGGTTCTAATAGAACAAGAGCAACCTTGGAGGAGAGCCTCGTGGTGGCTGTCCGAGGTGCTGAATTTTAAGCCCTCCCATTTCAATGACCGGTTCCCATAACACTGTTCCTGTTGGGTAGAGAATAACATTCCCACTTTACAGATAAGAAATAGAAGTCCTAAACGTTAGCAGAACCAGAGCTAGGAACATGTTTTCTCACCTTCCAGTTCAGGGCTCTTTTGCCCCACCCAGCAGCCTCAATGCAATTCAGCAAATCATGCCTCAAGTGATTCCAATGTTGTTGCCAAGCTAACATGTAAAACGCCCAGACTTTATTCCTATCTCCAGCCCTATGTCGTTTCTCCAAACATTGACAGGTGTGTCCCACCCCACAAGGCCTCCTGAGACTGACTATTCAGGGTGACCCACAGGTGCTTCGGTGGACCTGCTTGGACCCGCAGCCGTGCATATTCATGATTCTGCTTGCTCCAACAGGAATCCCTGGGTGTAGCTCATCTTGACACTCTCCTTGTTGAGAGGGGTGCCAGGCTTGGAAGAAGCACTGTTCCCCTACTACTCTCACAGTGCACCAATAATTACTACCATTTTACTGGGTGCTTACTATGTTCCAGGCACTGAATGACAAACTTCCCATATGAAGCTTCTCAGTCTCATGGCAAAGTCTCCTCTTAACAAGTGAGGAAACTCAGACTAAGGCGGGATAAGTGACTTGCCAGTAGGCAGAGTGGGGATTGGAAGGCAAGGATCTGAACTCAGATTTGTGTGGTTCCATGGTGACCTGTCAATCTAAGTTTATCATCTAACCTATGACAGTTCAGTGGCTTTGTGATCCAGGGCAAAGTCATTTGTCCTGATTGAACTTCAGCTCCTCATTTTCAAATTGAGGAACATAAAGTGCACCTCCACCAGGCTCCTGTGAGGGATAGAGATGAAGCATGCAGCAAGGACTCATAAGCGTTTGCTACTAGCGTGAATATGATTATCGCTGAGCACAAGCTCTTTGAAGGCTGGATGGATGTCTGATTAGCCTTTCCATGCCCCCAGCTGCCCCCCAAGTCCTTGGCAAAGTAAATATCTAGTGCTCCGGGAAAGAAGGAGAAAGAGTGTGAGGGCCAGCACACCCAGAGTGCCAGGTGGGGCTTGCTCCTGCCCCATATTCTCATGGCCTCTGCAGGGGTTGGACCCCTGGCTGGAGCAGGCATGTTACTGGACTCCCAGGGGTGGTTCTGCACTACCTTATTAGCACTCCTCACATCTATGTTGAGTCTGAGGCCATTCCCGGCCCTCAAGACTCTGCTTTCCTAAAGCTATCCCCACATCCTCCCTAGGGAGCCCTTGGCAGGAAGGGCTCTGGTGGGAGGGGCCAGCTGAGGATGCCGCCTCACATCCATTACCATGTTGGCTACTCACATCCGATAGCAGGCAGGAGTGATGTCACTCCCATCTTACAGAGGAGGAAACTGAGGCCCAGCAAAGTGAGGAAACACGTCCAAGGTTAGTGATCCTAGGATTGAGGTCTCCAGACGTTCAGAAAGGGGCTCTTTTAATTAGTCTCTAATTAATTGCTCATCCTAAAAATCTTTCAAGGAAAAGGGCAGCTGCATAAATTTATAGACTAGCTAGCAAATAAAGGCATTGTTAATTATTATTGACTGCAGGGCATTCTGGGGAGGGTCTCAGCCAAGCCTGCTCTGCTGATTGCCTCAATCCCTGACCCTGACCAGAGCTAGCTAATTGCAGGAAGTTGCATTCATTCAGAAGCTGGGGTAAAGGCAACAGTAATGAGTTCCCTCTTGGAGTCTGGGGCATGCAGAAATGAGTCACGCTCATGAGAACAATTGACTGTTCTGTAATCACCTCCAGCAGCTCCTGCTCAACACCCAACAGGGCCCCAGAAGGACCTTTTCAGGTATAATGAGGCTGGGCAGGAGGAGATGGATGAGAATTCACGGGGTCTCACCAGGGCTGTTTGGCTTACAATCTGTCTTAGCCCTGAGCCCCAGGCAGGTGGGACTCCACAAAGAGATGATTCCTGCAAGTGCCAAGTCTCCCAAAGTTCAAGGGCAGGAAGTCATTTGCATCCCAGATGGGAGGAAGAGAAGCAGTGGGCTGGCCTCCAGACTGCAGGAGCCCTGGCCTGAGGGCAGTGGGCACACAGACACTGGCCTCCCTAATCCTCGAAGGGTGCTAATTCTTCCTTCTATTGAGGAACAGTGACCAGGTAGTTGGGGGTGAAGGGGAATATGGGACTCTCGGCAGGCGCATATACGATGTATACAACCTCAATGAGCCCCCTCTCCCTTGACGAACGAACACACACACACACACACACACACACACACACACACACACACACTCGCTCTCTCTCTCTTTCTCTTCCTTGCTCCTACTTTCCTTTATTTTCCCCATAAGGGTGTGGTCCATGGAGTCCACATAGTGGACCATCTTAGAAATCAGTGAATTCATTTCCCCCTACACACTTATCATTTACAGATGAAGGAATTGGGGCCCTGAGAGAGAAAGCCACCTTCCCAAAGTCATAGAAGCCAAACTGGGACAAGGGTCAGAAGGCCCCACTAACGGTCCTGATGTGGTCAGTTCAATTCTGCTTCCATCTCCTGATCACTCGGCTGTGTGAGATTTTTAATCCCAAACAACTATTCTCTCCTACCCGAGCCCCAAACCTAGGGCACTCCACTTTTCTGTGGAAGTGATGGCCAAAGGTCACATCGATAAAGGTAAATTAGAAAGGAGACCTGCAGGAGGAACAGACTTCTTTCTTTCAAAGATGTCACTAGAATTCATTTTCACCCAATTTTACCTGCCCTGGGGAGGAGGAAGAAGGAACTGAACAGAGTTTAGTTCTATAGACCAGCGCAACCTGCCCACAAAAGTCCCCTGGCAAACCCACACTCCCACATCATGAGCAGGGCTTCCCTGTAGACCAGTGGATCTCCACCTTGGCAGCACACTGGCCTTAACTAGACCAAAAATATCGGTGTCTCTGGCAAGCGGGGGGGGGGGGGGGGCAGGTATCAGTGTTTATAAAGCTCCAAAGGTGATTCCAACAGGGAGTCCAAGTTGGGCACCACCCCTTCTTACTCAGCGTGAGGCCACCGACCGGCAGCACCGACATCACCTAGAGCTTGTTAGAAAGGCAGACCCTCAGGCCCCACCCCTACGTACCGGATCAGAATCTGCAAGGTCAGAGAGCCCACCGCTGACCCATACACTCACGAAAGTCCGAGAAGCACTAGGGTGAGCTACCTTCGATAGTCCATCTCTCCACCTGGCAGCAATTCTGCAAGGCAGGCGTTCCATTCCAGAGGTGAGGAAACCCATCCTGAGAGAGGTTAACTCACTGGCCCAAGGTCACACAGTCAGTGATAGGACAGCCAGGATGTGACTGACTCCAGTCTGGTTCCAAAGACCATGGTTGGTACCGCACCAACCACTTCCTACAGCACAGCAAAATACATGGCCGTAGGGGACTCCCCGAGTGCTTGGGTCCTCAGACCCACTGGGCACGCCCCGCCTTCGAACAGGATTCCACTTCCAGTGTCAAGTTCCCTAACTTCATAAAACCCAGCATAATTCATGAGAAAGCACAAATAGTAAACATGTGGGGGAAAGGTTCACTCTCCCTAGTAATCAGAGAAATGCAAATTAGAACAACATCGAGGAGCCATTTTCTACCGATATAATTAGCAAAAAAAGAAAGAAAGAAAAAAGGATGTTAGCAAAGTTGTTTTGAAATAGGTACATTCATACATGGTTGGTGGCGGTATAGATTTATATAACCCTTGAGGAAAGTAATATGGCAACATCCATCAAGAGCCATAAATACATTATGCCCACTGACCTGGAAATTCACCCTAAGGAAATAATTCAATAGGAGAGGAAAAGCTGTTTGTAGGAAGATGCTTATTGCAACATTTGCTGTGAACATTGGAGACAGTATTCAGCAGTAAGGGGATGGCTGAGTAACCTGGGGGGTATGGCAACTCCTGCAGTGGTATGCAGCTATTTAAAATGATAATTGAGAAGCCTGAGCAGCAAATGTGGGTGAAGGCAAGTAGAATGCAAAACTGTGTGTGTGTGTGTGTGTGTGTGTGTATACTGTGGCCATTATGATGTAAAAACACCGTGTGCGTCGGATTTAGACAGGGAGGAGCTGAGCGCAAAGTGCAAAGACAACTGGTATTCCAGGGGGAAGGGACAATGGGAAGACCCTCTCCTATTACATCTGCAGTTACAGAAACCAGTGGAACTGGCCCTTCGAGAACAGCTTGGGGGCTCTGTGGTCAGGAGCCCTATCTCTGAGAGGGCAGCACAGAGACACTCCCATTCTTCATCCCTGGGCAAAGGGCCACATTCCCCGATTCTCCTCGGAGGTGGGCCGAGCTGGCCCCTCTGCTCCTGTGTGGGGTGGGGAGCCTGGCGCCACGGGAGGCCCCGCCCATCTTACCATGAAGCCCGGCGCACACATGCAGCTCCCAGTGATGCTGTGGCAGTCAGCGCCGTTCTGACAGGTGCAAGGCAGCCGGCAGCCATTGCCGTAGGAGCCAGCAGGGCAGGACTCGTTGCAGTCGTGGCCAGACCAGCCTGGCCGGCAGGTGCACACCCCAGTGACTGGGTGGCAGCTGAGCAGATGAGAGAAGAATGAGAGGACAGTCTGGCCAGGGAGGCAGCCACGTCCCCCCGCCTGCCCACCCCAAGTCTGGTCGGCCAGGGTAGCAGGATCCAAGGGCCTCTGAGGTTGAATTGCTTACTGCCCTGTTTGTCAGAAGGTGCCAAGGTCACGTGGTCCTGGCGGCCCCGAGAAACTGGGGCTCTTGGTAGTTACATAATTTGCCTCAAGTCACATAGCAAGGAAGCAACAAAATCGGGATTATAACGCAGGTCTTCTGACTCCCAAAGAAGTGCTCTTTCTAATACAAATACGCACAGTCCAAAGAAGAAGGCAGCCTTCTTCAGTCCCTGCCCTAGGACTATGACATCCAGAGCCTCACTCACCCTGAACCCAGGGCAGATGGCTGGTGTAAGGGAAGGCACGAGGTGGATGCAGTGAGACCCAGCGGTGCTGCACATTGTAGCTACTCCGCGGACGTTTGCTAAGTTAAAATGAGACCTCGGGGCAGATGTGGCCTCCCCCCTCTGGCAATGTCTACACGAGAGAATACCTTCCATCTGGGCTTTGCTAGTGCTTTTTTAGAGTGACTGTGATAGTCTCCACCCCCTATCTGTCTAGGCCAGACAGGCAGGGGCTGCCCGGCAGGACCCATAGAGGGTGGGCAATCCCTGGCTAGCAGAGGTCTGATCCAACAGCCACTATCCACCATGATCAGAGGCAATGCCTGTGTGGTTACCGTGTGCTTCTCAGAGCTTCTGGGGGCAGGGTAAAAGCCCAATGGCCCCAGCTACTGTGTCTGATATCCACCACTACATTTGCTCAGAGCCCACATTTCCCCTGGGCTGCTCCCACCTAGAGCAGGGCAAGGGTATTAAGGTTGGCACATTCCTGGGAGGTCTGAAACTCCTCTGATAGGCAATTTGGCTTGAAGACTCCCAATCTTGCCAGTCTTTCTTAGAACTGTGATATAGCCTAAGGCTTTCCACCCAGCCTTCCTTCCCTCCCTCTCCTCCACATGGGTCCAACCTACCCTGCAGTCTGATGTTTTCCTAGCCTCTCCAGCCCCCTCCCCGTTCTCCCTCATAGGTGTCTCCCTAGTAAATCTCTTGCACGTGGGGAGAACCCAGACTAACACTCCAGAGATGATGCTGGATGGTAGAGACAAGCCGACCTTCCTAGATTCCATGTGTCACCTGCCTCTCAGCTCCGGAGTCCAGCTCAAGCAATAGGATCAAAGGAAGCATGCTCTGGGCTGGCAGGGGAGCCTGGGTACAAGTCTTGGTTCTGCTAAATTCCACAAGGACACAGGCTTTGTCTCCCTGGGTCACTGGTAGATCCCCAGTGCCTGGCTTATATTCACTGCCCAATTAAGTATCTGGGAGTGAATAGTACTTCCACTATGAGTAATTATTGTCTGTGTCTATTGACTTGTTTATCATCTGTCTCCCCCACCAGGTGGCAGCTCCATGAGGCAAGGCCCTTTGTCTACTTCACCTTTCTGTGTATTGTACCCCAGGGCCCCGCAGAAACCCTGGCACATTGGAGATGCTCAGTACATATTTGGCAAATGAATTAATGAACATGCTAATTGTGTGAAGCCCAGCCAAGCTCTTTCTCTTCCTGGAGCCTTGGTTTTCTCACGGAAAATGAGGGATGGATGGGAGCAGGCAGTTCCTGAATAGTAAGTGCAAGTAGCTAATAATCTTTTTGGAAAATGTTTAGTCTCGTTAATTACCAAGTCAAAATAACAACCGGATACCACTTTTTCTCTATCAAAATAGTATTTTTCTTTCTTTCTTTCTTTCTTTTTAATGAAAAGGGACAATACTCATCACTGGTAAAGGGTTCTGGAAAACTATTTGGGGTTATGTAGCAAGAGTCCTAAAAATATTCAGACCCTTTGATCTTATAATTCCATTTCTAAGATTCTATCTTAAGGAAAGAATCAGAGTTGTGGAGAAAGATTTATGCACAGAGATGTTCCCTAAAGCATTATTTATAACAGTGGGGAAATGGAAGCAATTTAAATAATAATGTGACCAGGCTACTAAAGCACCAGGCACTTCACACACATTTCTAATCTTCAGATAAGCCTGCGAGTTGGGCACGAGAGCCTCTATTTTACAGACAGCACTTGGAGGTTATGTGACTTGCCCAAGGTCACACGGCTTAAGTCAGTGGCAGCGGGGATTTAAACCGAGATCTGTCTGGCGGCCTCATGCCTCCTCTGACAACACAGTGCTTGTTAAGTGAATTATGACAATTCGTATGAAGGGATGTTAGAGAAGTATTCAAATGTTTTCCAAACTTGTTAGTGATAGAAGGTGAAGTGAAATAAGCAAATTATATACAAAGTCACAATCTAAAATATGGGAAAAATATATATCTTGACACGGATGAAGAATGAACAAATCACAACAAAATGGTTTTGGGGCTCATCTCTGGGTTGGGAAATTATGAGTGATTTGAAGTTTTTTCCTTAAATTTCTATGTCTTCTCGAACTTCCCCCAAACTGAGCATCTGTTACATTTATAAACAGATGTAAAGCAATGAAAATTGTAAATAGGTAGAAAAGGAGAATCCTGTAAGGGGATGAGGGCTTGAAGACTTCCTGACTTTCCTGGCTCCAGACAAACTCCTCCTGATCCCCACACTATGAGGGGGAAACAGTAGGTTGCACGGGTGCTATGGGGCGGGTGGTCCCCATGTGGTGGCCCAGACCTTCGGCCAGACAGATGTGGGGCACATCGCTCTGTCTCAACACTCTGAGCCAGCCCTTTCTCGGTTCCAACCTTCCAGGGGCCTCCCCTGGGGTTAGAGGGACTGGCTCCGTGACGGTCCTGGAGACAGACACACGTGGATCTAGCAAACGGACCCGGCAGCTCCGCCTAGCCCTGGCGATGCCCAAGGGTCTCAGGCACGCTTCTGCCCTTCCCATTGGTGGACTCTCTCGTTGCAGGTGCTGGCTCCAGTGGGACCACCACCCTGTGAGGAGCCTACCAGGCACGTGCTGGTGGGCAAATACTGACTTCTAAGAACTCCAGCAGTGCCCGATTCTGCTGTCTCAGCCGCCACTGTTTTGGCGGCTTAGGGCTGTGCTCAGTGCCAAATTTACTTTCCACTCTGAGAACCAGAAAGCTCGAAACTGATTCTGCAATCACTTCTTTCTCCCTCCCTAAAATACTATGTAAAAAACCAAGATTTCTAGTTTCTTAATTTGATTGCTTATCATTTATCATAAAACCTCTCAAATCCCTTTGAAGAGAGGGTGGGCAGCGACGGCTGGCCGAGTGGTTTATGACCCAGAACTGGGTGCCTTCCTCACGTCTGATCTCTCCCAGGCACCCCTGCTCCCCACTCCCCTCTGCCCCATGGGGGCAAAGCCATTCCCTTTGGTCACACGGTGGGCAAGTGACTGCTGGGGAGGCTCAGGCAGAAGTCACAAACAGTGGTGTTCAGGCTGGCTGTTTGTTCTCTCTTTTTTTTTTTCCTTGTCTTTCTGCCATTTTCCCCAGATACAGATTAATCACAAGTTAATAGGAGCCGAAAGCTGAACAATACAGGAATCTTTTCATGGTGGATTTTTCTGTTTGTTTGGGTTTTTTCCCCCCTTTTTTGGGCTGCTCTGAGATTTCTATCAATGCTGCATCTGTTGGCTAAATAAAATCTTTCAAAGGTAATACATGATCATGGCTGCTAGAATTCGTCTACAACAATCCAGTTGTGGAGGGAACACAACAGAGGCCTGACACACAGGCACTTTCTTTCTCAAGGTTATTCCTTTACGAAGGGGAATCATTTCTTCGTGTATGCTACAGAGCATTTATAAAGAGAACAATGTGATGGGGAAATCTCACCCCAGCCCCTTCTTCCTTCCCCGGGCACATGGATTCAACCTCTTTGAAGCAGCCTCTCCAGAGGGCACCAGGCAGACAGAGGCTGGGGCCAGACAAGTAGGGTTTCCTTTAGTTGGGGCTTGAGAGTACTTTGTCTCCTTAGGAAAGATCCTCCTCACAAGGCCTTGCAAGCCTTCTTGGTGGAGCTCTGTCTTAAGCGCTCTTGGAAGCCAGGGGGCGGTGAGGCTAGGCTTCTGGGGATCCCACACTCCATCTCTCAGGGAGCTGGGTGGAAGCTTCACTTGCAAAGACCACAAGAGAACTTTTACCCACACTGGGCATATTAGCCAGGACTCGGGGGTCCTAGACCCCACCCAGGCCAGCTTAACTGCCTCGAGATTAGGAGTCAGAGAATCCTCCCTCTACTTTTCTTGGACCCCAAGAGAAGGCTCTGTAATGGGACTAAGGCTCATGGAAGAGAGGAGTGACCTGTGTCCACACAGAAGAAGAGAGGTGTTCTCTGTGACCACGAGAGCAAAGCCAAGGGCAGCACGAGAGAGTTCAGTCAGGCCAGAGGCTCTCAACCAGGGGCCAGGTTGCCTCTCCCCTCCGCACCCAGGAAACAGTTTTGCGTATCAGAACTTGGGGGGCTGGTTGTTGCCACTGGTGTCTAGTGGGAAGAGGCCAGGGATGCTGCTGGGCACCCTACAATGCACATCAAAGGATTATCCAGCCCCACATGTCAGTAGGGGCCAGGTTGAGACAGTCTTGAGTTAGAGTGAATGAAAACGTGTGAGTGTTGTGGGTTCAGTTATTGGGCCAGTGTGCCAATCACTAAAAAAATAATAAGAGAGACATCAGGTCGGGGGCAGAACCACCTAGAGGAATGGGCTGTTGGGGGAATTCAGTGATTCTTCTCACTGAAGGTCTGCTCTGTGCCAGGCACCATGCCATGCTGAGGCTGCAGCGGAGGACCAGCCAGGCCACTCCTGCCCGCAAGGAGCCTGGAATGTGACACAGCTCAGTGTCGTGCCGACATGGAGGAGCCCAGCCTGGAGCCCCCAGTTCTAAGAAACGCTACTGACTCCCAGTCCCTGCGACAGGACCACGTGTTAAAGGCAGCAAAGCAAATAATCATCAATATTGGATGGGCTGAGATTAGCGACGGAGAAGAGGGAGTCCTTCCAGATTAATAATGCATCGAGGACTCCTTCAGAGGAAGAATAAATTATGCAGGGCACGGCTGCTCAGGCACAGGAGGAAAACAACGGCTCTTTAATTTGGGGGTTGGTTGGATCTCTGTGGCAGGGATTCTCCCTGCACTGGACCTCAGCGGCAGCCTTGCTTCCCAGCCCTGAGAGAGTCCTCCCTTGGCTGTCAGCAGGGGTGGGGGCTCCTGGTGCAGTTCTCCACCTGTGCAACAGGCTGAGGCAGCTGCCCAGCCTCTGACCGGCGATAGGGAACCCCTGTCTTTGAGAGCCTTAAAGCTCTTACCCTGTCCTCCAGACCTAGCCCTGATGCCACCTCCTCCAAGAAGACTTCCCTGACCAGCACAGCAGTTTCCTCTGGTGCTCTCTACACACAGCCCTGGTCACAGTTACTTGAGCACACGTTGGGACCCAGCAGGGCCAGCCACACATAGCTCACTTATTCTAAGATGCACCTCCCCCCACATTTCACATCTCAGATATTGGGTGTGCTATACAATCAATGGCACATCATGGTTCAGTTAATAGCATTAATAGCATTCTCCTTTCCTGGTAGTACGTAAAACAGAGCTGTGCCTCACTCCTGGTACTGTCCTGTACTTGCAGAAATGTGGTAGAAGGTGCTCAGTGTGTGTGAGTGCTCCAGACCCGAGTTCCCGAGGGCTGGACTGGTGCTGAGGGACTCTATTTTCCTCCTCGTGGTCCAGCCCTGCAGGCACTCGGTGTTTGCTGAATGGCTGACTGAGTGAATGAGTGCTCGGGTCATAGACGGGCCTGCTCCGCTGACTCCAGGGCCCCTCTCAACAGCCTCCTTCCCAGCCCTCCAGCTTGCAGGTGGCTCCACCCCAGCCGCTCAGCTCCAGGGACTGAGGACCAAGGACAGATTCTACCTAAGCCAAAACACTTGCAGCAACCAGAGGCTCTGGGGGGGGTATTTGTGGAGAATCAAAAGCTGGAAATGAAGGGGGGGGCTGAGGCCAAGTCCTGGCCGTCCTAGCAACGGGGGTGCAAAGAGGCATCTCTGGCCGGCAAATTGCCACAATACCCACCACCCAGAGCTGCCAGTCCTCCCCTGAGCTGTCCTGCAGGTCCGAGGGGACAAGGGAGACTCCCCCACCTTTCGCCACCCAGATAAGGGGCAGCCACATAAAGGGCCACAGAGGCCTTCTCTGGGGCCAACAGCCTCATTTATCACCAGAGGGTGGCGCCAGCTGGTGCATGAAGCGGGACGTGAAGAGATGCAGAAAGAGGGGGCCGGGGCAGCTCTGGCTTCTCTGCTCCCCAGACTCAGGTTCCCCTGAAGCTCCTCCCTCATGGGGCCAGCTTCAGCCGAGGCGTCCTCAAGCCCGAAAGGACACAGAGTGCAAGGAGAGGCTGGGCCTGAGCTCTGTCCCTCCTGCTCCTCCATCCTAGCCAGGGCCCGCTGGGACAGCCCTCACCAGGCCCTCGGAGAGCCCTACTGATCTTTAAGGTCCCTTCCAGTACGGACCCTCTGTGGCTCAAGCCCCTGCTTCTGCCCTGGCAGTCTCGTCTCCGGGCCTCTAGGGGTTGGGGAATGGCTAAGTTGGATGTAGAGCACGTGGAGGGGACATTTCTCAAGGACAATGCCCCCGGAGCACTGTCCCACCCCAGCACCGCAGGACCCTGCGGCTCCATCCCGCCCTGCTACCCTGGCGATCGCCAAACTCCCTCCTTGATCCTTTGTGGCGGGTCTCAGGTGGGCCTGTTTTCAAAGCTGGCAGCCGGGTATGGCAGACAGAGGCAGGTGACCTGGGTCCCGGTCCTGGCTGTCTGTGTGGCTTTGGCTTCCCCTTCTTTTCATCAGAGTCGTCAGTTAGCAAAGATGACTGCTGAGACCCCAGCTCTCTCGCTGCCCTGCCTGGGTGACCGGGCTGGAGGTGGGGGGTCTGTGCCCTGAGAAGCCCCCTCTCCACCGGTGCCCACCCACCCAAGCATCCCCAGACCCCAGCTCGTACCTGATGGTGTTGTCAGCATGACAGGGGCAAGGCAAGGTGCAGCCTGGGCCATGCATTCCGTCGGGGCACAGCCGCTCCTGGCAGCGCGGGCCTTTGTAGCCAGGCTCACACTCGCAGGCTCCGGTGGTGGGCGAGCACTGACCCCCGTTGTGGCAGTCACAGCGCTGTGAGCACTGGAAGCCGAAGGTCCCGAAGGGGCATTCCTCTTGGCACCTGCAGGACCGCAGACGGCGGGGGGCGGGGGGGGGGTGAGGCTCCGCCCCCTCGCCTCCCAGATCCGTCCAGCCCACACCCTCGACCATCAGCCCGTGAGCACCAATCCCCGCCCCCGAAGGAGGAGGACTGAGCTCCTTCCGTGTCAAGTAGCTTTGCCTGCTCCTCGGAGCGCCCAGCATAACCATAATTCTTCCACTCATTGCCTCACAGCCTCTGCTGGGGAGCGTGATCCCTGCTGCCGACTGCCCGACGCCCCCCCCCCACCCCAGACTGGGGCTATTCCCCAGGGATGCAGAGTCTTTGCCCTGCACCTGGACCCTGACAAGGTCAGGGGGACACCTGTGGGCATCCAGGGTAAAAGAGGCGGGCGGCTCCTGCGTCCCAGAGACTTGGGAAATGGCCTCTGAGATTTTCATGACCCACGTCCCACACGGCTCCCATGGTGCTGGAAGGTCAGTCCTGACATCGGCTTTCTCGTCATAAATTGGGATGATAATACCTAAAGCTCACAAAGTTGTTAGAGGATTAAACGAGATAAGGTGTGTAAACGTTTGGGAAGGTGTCCCACACGTGTAAGGGCTCAGGAAGAAATATTAGTTACGATTAATATCCTTGTTAATACTGTTCTCTGAAGTTCCCGGAACAGAGCCCATCCGACCTTCCACCTCAGGTACTGGCATGAACAGGCTCGGAGGGAAGAATTCCAAAATGTTACCCATGGAGTGGACTTGAGGAATTCTACAGTGTTCTTGTTGTCATCTAGACAACCATTTTCTGGTTTCCTGTCCCTTCCACAATGACAGTGGGGAGGGAGCAGTAAAAGATGCTTTTTTTAAAAAACAGAATACAGCCCTAACTTCTTTATTAAATCTTGGAGAGTCATGAGTTGGAGCCAGTGCTGTTCTCCCGAACAGGGCAGGGAGAGCCATGTCTGGGGGCCCTCGGGCGCTGCTCATGAGGGCGCGTGGCGGGGCCCTAGCGATGCTGTCGGGCTGGGCGGTGAGTGCCTGAGGCCCAGAGTGGCCGGGGTGTCGGATGTGAGTCCTGGCAACTGTGCCCGGGATGCCGCTGTCTTTTCTTTGTCACCTTGTGCCCACAATGACAGGGAGAGGAGAAGGGTGACTGGGGTCTAACCTTGAGGGCTTCCCCAAGGAAGCTGCCACCCATTGTCCCCTCACAGAGTCACTGTGGCCAAAGGAGGTCCATGGCGGAATGTAAGGGCAGCAGGGACCAGCGTGGCCACAGCCCGGGGCAATGGCCAGAAAGGGGCTCCCAGCTAGGCAGGCCCCAAAGCCGGCCCCGGGTCCCTAAAGCAGGGGCTATGCCCATCATCCTCACTCTGGAGTTGAGAGGGCTGGGATGCAGACAGGTGAGGTGTGTCCCAAGCTCATACAGCCTGCAAGTGGCCGAGATGACCCCAGCTTGTTGCCCGCCAGATCTTCCGGCATTTTAGCCAGTCCAAGGTCCCATTTGGGAAGAAGAGAAAAGAGAGGGAGGAAGAGAGAAGAAAGAAGAGGTTGTCTGGAGAAGAAACAGAAGGTAGAAGACAGGAAGAAGGAGGAGGAGTAGTGGGATGGGGGAGGGAAAGAGGGAAACTGAGGCAGAAGGGCAGGACACAAAGCACTGAAGGGCTGGAAGATCACTGTCTGAATTGCTAGCTCCTCTTCAGCCATTCTCAGAATGGATTTTCCCCGGGGCGCCTGGGTGGCTCAGCTGGTTAAGCGACTGCCTTCGGTTCAGGTCATGATCCCGGAGTCCCGGGATCGAGTCCCGAGATCGAGTCCCACATCGGGCTCCCTGCTCAGCGGAGAGCCTGCTTCTCCCTCTCCCACTCCCCCCGCTTGTGTTCCCTCTCTCGCTGTCTCTCTCTCTGTCAAATAAATAAAATCTTAAAAAAAAAAAAAAAAGAATGGATTTTCCCAGAAGTCAGTCCAGTTTGGTTCTCCTCAGATGTCTCAGACACCAGGGCAAGAAACCCAAGCCAGCAGAGCCTCCTGACAACTCCACCCTTCCACTGGAACATTCCTGCTCCCTGCCACCCAGCAGGACTGGGCAGAGCCCCAGCCAGTGAGCTCCCCCTGAAGGGCACTACCCGCCCCCCCCACCGCCATATTTATGTAGTGACTGACTCCATAGCCCCAGAAAAAGAATCTGGAAATGAAATATTGACAACCTAATCCATTTACATAATCAGCCTCTTTTTTTTTTCCTACTCACAATTTAAACAACTTATTTATTTAGAGATCAAGCAATGACTGCTAATGAATTTTCCACAAAGCACGCTAATAAGGGGGCCTGTGGAACAGAAGGGTAATCACAGCAGGAATTAGTTTTCTACTTAAACATCTTTCCTTTGCAACATATCAATCTAATGTGTCTGATATTGCCATTAACAACCAGATCCATTGCTCAATTAAATTACAAAATGAGCTGCAAAGCCCTCGTTACATTTCATGTTTAATTTGCACTGGATTCTGCCTATCCGGGGGGGGGCCCGCATTATTACACCCACTCAACTTTAATATGCTTGCAATGATTTGGGGAGGGTTAATGCAGCTGTCACCTACAAAATTAATGGAGGCAATTTTATAAAATATTAAACACTAGGCGGCCCATTGAGGTGGGAAACCCAAATGCTACCTGGCTCTCCCCCTGAACTCTCTATAGTTGATGGGTGAAGCTTGCTCAGAGGCCCCCAAGGGTTTGGGATATCTCTCTGCCCCGGGATCATGGGCTGGCCCCAACAAGATGAGAGATTAGGATTACTATTCTTTTGGGTACATCTTGGCAGTGAAAACTGAGAGAGCCAATGATGTAGGGTCTACTGGTGCTGGGTCCCACCAGCTGGAAGTCCGGGCCTGTTCATCTCCAACAACAAGTGAGCTGGATTACCTCTCACGTGCAAGTGGACTGAAACAAAGGGTCCTGTTCTGGTTCTGGGGTCTTCCGGCTCCTGACCCTACTAGCTCATCCTGAGCATTTCCCTTACCGGGGGAGAGGGTGAGGATGGGACGTTGGGCTCAGTGCTTCAGTCCCCCTTCCCACCCACTTCCCCCAGAGACCCCCCTCTCTGACAGAAGTCAGGGAGGATCTCCAGATGCCATACCCCATGTTCTAAGGCTGGGAAGCTCATGTAGATGAACACTAGCTTACAAAGAGATCAGATCTGGCTCAAAAGACTTCAGGCTAGGGGCAAACAAACCTAAGGCAAAAAATGGAAAATCACTTTTCTGGGCATCACCAAGGATTTGGGGCTGACTCCAGTGACAGTTGGAAGAGTCACAGCCAGAAGGATCGATGAGTTGACTCAGCTTCGATCCCTGCTTGCTGATGTTACCTGGGCAGGGGAAGCAGGGGATGGTGAAAAAATGTTCCTCTTGCCTCGCTTTGTCTGGGCAGAGTAACAAAATCCAGGGCCAGAGATGAAACCTGGATCCCACAGAAGCAGAGAAGGGGTGTGAGAACTTCCGCCCTACCGCTCCTCTCTCTTCTAGAAAAGATGCATATAGTTGAGGCGTAGTTGGGTTCTGTCCGAGACAAATGTCCTCTTCTAGCTCTGAATTCACTCACTATCCAACACACTAGTTGTTGCTTCTCTTCCACAGCACCTACCTGATTGTCATAGCATCCTTCTTCCTGCCTCGGCCAATGTGCGCATACGGGAATTCCTCAGTGATGAGTTCTGTGGGCTATCCGCTCCACAAGGCTGGTTTGATTCCAGGACATTGGAGCCCCTGTTCAGCTATCAGGCCACTAGCCCTCAGAGGATGCAAACTGAGGCCAGTACCCTTTTGGTACAACCCAAATTCGGAGTCAAAATTTAGTTCTAGAAGAAATTATGCAAAATGTGTGAACTAGTGTGCACTCCCAGCTTCTTTGGACTATTGGTGCCATTGCGTCCCTCCAGTAAGGCAGAAAGCAGAGTGGGTGACAGGTGCTCACCTCCCTCTCCTGGTGAGTCAGTGTGAGCGTAGGGCTTGGGTCACTGGGCAGGGGGAGGGGTGTGTGTGTAGCAGACCCAAGGGCCAGGAAGGATGAGTGATGAGTCTTCCTGGCCGGAGGACTCTGAATGCTTCCTGAGAAGGCAGGAAAGCTCGCAGAGGAACGCTGTGGGCTGGCAAACCTCAGCCACTGTCTGCAAGGCGTCTGGGAAAAGGAGCCACACGCCCGGCAAGGACCATAGTCTTACCTGTCCCCCATGTAGCCAGCCGTGCAGTGGCACTGCCCGGTCACGTGATCACACTGCCCTCCGTGGTGGCAAGGACAGTCTTGGCTGCAGTTCTGGCCGAACGTCCCCGGTGGGCAGGGCTGGGCACACACTGCTCCCTGAAGCACAGGAGGTGAGACACACATGATGTCATTCTCTCCTCGAACTGGCACAGCTGGTGTAGCCCCGGGGACCTCCCCATTTCCTCAGTGGGACATCCTCTGCAATCACAGAAGCTTAAGAAGCTGAGCATTGTGGCCCTAAAGCCCCATTTGAGAGATAGGGAGACTGAGGCCCATCGGCTCCTCCGATTATTCAGGACACATTTATTAAGTACCTACTGTATGCCAGGTACTGTGTTAGACACTGGAGAGAGAAAAATATGAGGCAGACTCGATTTGTGAGCTCCCAGTTTACTGGGGAGAGAGGTAAGTGATGCAGATAACTAAAGCACAGTGGCTAAGTGCTCTGGAAAAAAAAGGAGACTCTGGTCTGGAAACACACACTTCATTTCCACTCCTTTCCCAAACCCCGCTAACACAAGAGCAAAGGGGGAAAAGTTATAAGCCTACAAGGACAAAAGGAATGGGAGCAGAGTCCATGCAGGACACGAGATGTCACATGCTGGAAGATCGTAACCTCGGAAGAGCTCAGGAATCAGAGACATCAGGAACCTCTCAGGGTCAGAATGCAGGTATGCTGAAACAGGAGGGCTGTCTGAAAGTGTATAAAAGAGAGAATAAGACCCCAAATCTCTGCCCCTGCTTCAAATAGCCAGGTGACTTGCCCAGTCTGGCAGAAGCCTGGCAGTTGATTTTGAAGAGGTTGGCCCATGTAGGCTTGGACATGAGGATGCCAAGCACGGCTAAACAGGTGCCAGGAGAAACGGGCATCCCGTGCACCTCTGCTTGCTCAGCAACCAGATTGCTGATTCCCACTGGCAAGGTTTTGGAAGATTCTTTTCTGGGGGCACTGAAAAACTCCGGAGGAAAGACCTACAGATCCTGATATTTAAGGGTCCCATCAGTCAACAAGCCTGGCAACTCCCTCTAACCCTGCAGGTTTCCAACCAGCTTTTCTGAGGCTCACTGTAAAACATGAACAGGTGGTGAAGGACGACCAGATAGTTCAAATAAGTCTCCAACAAGACAGATGAAGACCTAAGCAGACAAATACCCAAGTGGAACACAGAGGAAATGGGAACTAAGCAGGGAGGAAAGAAAACTTTTAAAAAGAGAATTAAGAACTTCTATTATAATTAAAATGAATATCTGTATGTAGTTATATGAAATTATTTTATCTATGAAAGAGTGGAGTGCTATAAAAGGGGATATCCAGAGAAAAGCAAAGAGTTTTTGAAAAAAATCTAAAAATAAGATGGCAGAAATTTTAAAATTGCAATAGAAGAGCTGGAAGATGAAGAAATCTCCCACAAAGAAGAATAAAGAAGGGGAAGGAGGGGAGGCACCAAGGAAGGAAATTGTAGGCAAAATATAATAAAATTAGAGGATCCGTCCAGGAGGTCTGATATCTGAGTAACAGAGGATTCCAGACAGCAGAACAGAGAAAATGGAGGCACCTAAATTAAGTGGGAAATATAATAAAAGAAAACTTTCCCAGAATGGAAGATGGAAAGCACTGATCTCTGAATTGAAAAGGTCTCTAGCATATCCAGCATGAAAAGTGAAAAAGACCCATATTAAAGCTTATCACTATAAATTTTTATACTTCTATGGATAAATTTTCCTCAAAGCTTTTAGAAAGTCATATAAAAGGACAGGAACCAAAAGGTATTGGGCTTCTTAATTAGAAGCTAGAAGATAATGGACTAATGCCTTAGAAATTCAGAGGAAAATAGTTTGCAACCTAGAACTCTTTATCCAGCTAAACTAACACTTAAGTGGGGATTCAAAAAAGGCATTTTCAGATTTGAACAGCCTCAAAAAATTTAACTTTCCATGAACTTTCTCAGGAAGCTACTGGAGGATTTTCTTTTCATCAAAAAGAATTATCCAAGAAAAAGAAAGAAATGGGGATGACAACAGAAGAGAGAGGTGAAGGGAATTACAGGGTGGCAGTGAAAGGGAGTCCATAATGACACCAGGAAGCAGGAACTGAAACACACAAAGCTTCAGCATGGGAGTGCGGCCTCAAAGTAAAAAACAGAAACAAAAACCAAACTGAGAGATATCTGATGTGTCTGACCTTATCGAGAGGTCTTTTCAAGTTCTGCCAGAGTGTTTTAGGGATAAACTAGTGATGATACGTAAGTGAGCATATCAACATAAACACTGATTTTGAATTCATTATGTCATGACATTATGAAATCATTAATGTTATCAAAATGATTCAACCAAAAATTGTAAGAAAGTACCACTTGAGAGGGTGGGGGAAGGGTTGCACTTCTCTGTATCTGATCTGAATCTTATTCTATGGTAGGAAGTCAACAGATTCAACAGATGTCTACAATGGAAAAGTCAGGAAATGGCAGTGAAATATGTGGTGCAGAAATATGGACGAAATGCCAGAAGAAACACAAAATGCGAACAAACCTGCCTTTCTGGAGTGGGATTTGTGAGTCAGTCGGAGAACTATTTTCCCCTCCGTCCAGTACTAGCCTTGTGGGATTAGATAACTTTAAACATTATATCTACGAGTCTTAGGTCTTTATTAAACAGGAATTGGAGGTGGCTGCCCTTCCAGCTGCTCCCACACCAGAGACAGTCATTTCTCTTATGGAGACCGAGGGTTCTCCCACAATTCATTAATCAATTAGTTCAACACACAGTTATTAAGCACCAATAACTGCCAACCCAGAGGAAGCTAGTTTGCTTAGGGAAATGCTGCCAGAACTAACTCATTTTTCAATATCCTCCAGTTTACTGTAATGAATTAAGGGGGAGAACTTTTAGCTCAGATTTCTCTTCCGCACATGGGGTAGAGGTGGGACAGGGGAAGGGGGATTGAAGGGGCAGAGGCAGCAGCTGATGACAGCAAGATGAGTGTGTATGTGAGGAGAGGGGCAGGGAAAAGCCACAGAGGAAGGGGGCCTCTTCCTCCTGGAGGCGGTAGGGGTTCCCCACAGAGGCCTGCCTTCCTCAGTGCACCCCACAAGCTTCTGAGACATGACCAGGGCCCCCTGAGGAGGCCAGTAGGGAAGCTTGGTGCACAGAGTACTTCCTTCCAACATTTCCTGAGGAAATCAAGCATCCTGGAGGCTTTTCGGACGGGTGGGCAAGCACCTCCTTAAGCCCCGGCTCAATGTTTCCCAACTGCAGGCACCCAGGTGCCTGAATCCCTGGGCTCCTCCTTGGGCTTGAGCTCCTACAGCCTGAAGGAATTCAATACCTTGGAAGGCCTGCTGCTTGGTGTGGTTGGCAGAACACTGGACTCAAAGTCAGCACTTAGGTTCAAGTCCCAGCTCTGCCTCCTCCCAGATGGCTGAGCTAGGACGAGCCCTATGATTGTTCTGAGCCTCAGTTTCCTCACCTATAAAATGGGAGTCATAACTCCCGGTCTCCAAGGTGGTTGTGGAGGTTAAGTGAGGTTGGAGATGGGATGGAACCTAGTATAGTGTCCTAAAGAGCAGTTCCTTAATTAATATTAATTCCACCTAAGGGGACACCCAATGTTGCACGTCATAGGGGCCCAGGACCAGCAGAGCCTTGAAAGAGTGGGAGAACCTTAACTAGTAATACTGCTGGTGGAAGAACAGGCGTTGGGGGTTGGGTGGGGGGAGAGAGCAGGCAGCAAAGTGTCAGCTTAAGAGAAGAGGTAATAAAGTTAAAATGAGGCCATTAAGGTGGGCCCTAATCTAATCTGGTGGGTATCCTTGTAAGAAGAGATTAGGACACAGACATGCTCAGAGGGAAGACCCTGTGAAGACACAGGGAGAAAGCAGCCAACTACAAGCTAAGGCAGGAGGCCTCAGAAGGATGCAACCCTGCCAACGCCTTGATCTTGGACTTCTAGCCTTAAGAACTGTGAGAAAAGACAGTACCCCAGTCTCTGCTACTTTGTTACAACAGCCCCAGCACACTAACACACCTGCTCTATGGTCAAGTAGAGGGCACATCTCCAACTGTGGCGGGACCTTGGGCACTGTGGCATCCAGAAGGTTGGAGATGAGCGGAGGCAATAGTCTCCCTCCTCTCAGAACTGGTTAGACCAGGGGCGCCTGGGCGGCTCAGTCGTTAAGCATCTGCCTTCAGCTCAGGTCATAATCCCAGAGTCCTGGGATCAAGTCCCGCATCGGGCTCCCTGCTCCTTGGGAGCCTGCTTCTCCCTCTGCTTCTCTCTCTCTCTCTCTCTCCCTCTGTCTCTCATGAATAAATAAATAAAATCTTAAAAAAAAAAATAAAGAACTGGTTAGACCAAATGGTTTGTCAAAATCTGAAAACCAGCCACTCTTTAAGAGGACCATGGCTAAATGGAACAAAATGATAAAAGGACTTAGGCAAGGTCACATCGATTCTCCCAGAGAAGGGACCACTCAGCCTCTCAACCACCGTCCCAGGTTGCATGATGCTCTCAATTGTCAGTGACCAAAGGCTGCTGTGGGTGCTGAGGAAATGGTCCAGGTACCGGCCAGGGCGTGGGTCTCTACAAATCATCCTTCCTAAACCTGAGCATCTGTAATTTTGCAGCCTCAGCTCCAAAGGCCAATCTCTGGCCCTCTGGGACACCTGGTCCTAGTTCCCAGCACCTCAGCCCCATCTCTCCTCAGGCCTGTTGTTTCGTGTGTGTGTGTGTGTGTGTGTGTGTGTGTGTGTGTGTGAGAGAGAGAGAGAGAGAGAGAGAGAGAATACACTATATCCAGTATCCACCATCAGACTGGGGACTCCTAATGGGGCCCGATCACATCTCTTACCTCCCCTTCTGTCTGCAGTGCCCACTCTCATTCAACTACTCACACCTGCTTTCTCTCCTCTGAACAGTGAAAGAAAAAGAGTAATTTCCCAGGCCCTTTGCAAAGGCCCTCCTGGAATGAGCTAATGACAGCTAGGCAAGTGGAGTGTCCTACAGGCATACTTAGAGCCTGGTGGCCAGGAATCTCCGAGGAGGGGCCTGGAGGGCCAGAGATCCCACTTACATTGGGGCTCTTCTCTAGCTCTGCACCAGGCCTCAGTCTTCTGGGGAGCCGCACTGTGTGACCCAGCAACTATATTCTTTAGATCTCTGAGTGTGGCGGAAGCCACCTGGGCCCATCGAGAAAGTGAGGTCTTGGAGGATGATCAAGGCAGGACCCTTCTGCCCATCACCCTCTTCTGGGCCCCAGGCCCCCCTGGGAGGGGCCTCAGGGCTGAGCCACAGCTTCATTCCACTGTGACTCTGCATGAATGAGGGGTATTAATAATTCATACAAATCTGCAAGTTAAATGCTATGTCAAAAATAGAAACGCAATTGTCTACAATAAAATTAAAAACGTAAAGTCTCCAAATCCAAAGGCTTCTATTGCCAGAGCTTCCTGTCATCAGGAAGAACAAACCTCTCATGTGTTGGGGAGAAAAAGAAATTCCTCCATGTGTTGGCCTCCTCCCTTCCCCTCCTATGACCACTGGCCTCCATCGGTCTCTCCACAGAGGCCTTTACAGGGGCAGGGCCTGCCTGTGGCCCATTCTCCTCCTACCTCGCCCAGAGCCACCCTCACTGCCTGCTGCTAGGCCTCCAAGGACCCAGTCTGTGGGTGGTGGAATTCTGGAAGCTGGCTGGAGATAAGAGGGTCTTTCCAGAGAGTGGTTCAGGGTGGGAGAAATGGGCAGGTGTGGGAGAGGCAGCCATAGCACCCTTTGTCCTCAGACACTAAGGGCTGGGTTTTAGGAGTCCAGAGTCAGGACACCTAGATACTAGCCCACCTTCCCCTTAACCAGCAGCGTGGCCTTGGGCAGGTTACTCAGCCTCTCTGGGCCTCAGCTTCTTCATCTGAGAAAGGGACATCTTGATGGACCAGTGGTGTTCAAACTCTAAACTCTGGGAGACCCCGTTTTTATGTGAAATTTTACCTAGAACCTCCATATAGAAAGTAGATTCAAATGGAGAAGAGGGGGAGAGTGGGACCGAGAGCCCTAATTATCAGGCTTCTCACCCTCACCCCAAGAAACCCTAGGGTTTCTGTGAAACACAGAAGGAAATCCTATAGTCTCGATCAATTATTTCCGAATGCAGACAAGCAGACAGGGTTGGCTGCCTCAGAATCATCTGGGGAGCTTATTAAAGATAGAGATCCAGGCCCCAGAAGGTTCCTGGTAGGGCCTGGGAATGTGTACTTAAGGTCCCTGCCCCCAGGAACTCTGTGCAGCCAGGTTTGGACACTGCTACACCAAATCATCCCCTGGTCCCTTCCTGCTCTAGAAAATCCTGGCACATGTGTGCCTCAGTGGGCCCTGCAGGCGTCCCCCCTGCCTGCTCCCCATGACCTCTGCCTTCACAGCCTCCTGAAATATCCTGCTCTGCTCAGCAACCCTGTCCTCTCCAGCTTTGCAAAGTCTCAGGCCCCAAGGGAGGCAGCCAGCTGGGGCACCCAGCTTCCCCTGAAACAGGGGCTGTTCCTGGAGAGCTGGAGGCAGAACACAGCCCAGGGAAGTCAGCCTTAGTCACTTGCTGCTCCTGAGAAGCTTGGGTCTTTGGTGGGGGAAGGGAACGCGTTGGCTAAAAAGGAGGCTTGTGCATTGTCTGTGGGATCCAGGGATATAACACAAGCAATTATAAAGGACTTCAGAGTTTGCAAGGCACTTTGGACATGCACTGCCTCATGTGAGCCTTTTGCCAAGCATGGCAGTTACCAAGGGCAGGGCTTGACTAGTGTTGTATCAGTTCTGCTTACAGAGGGGGAAACAGAGACCAGAGTAACTGAGTACTTTTTTCAGTGTCAACACTGGATGTAGCACCTGAATTTAGGCCTGTGAGGTTATAATTCCCATCCCCCTTTTCCAATGTAGTGGTTCCCAGACACAAGACCTGGACTGGGGGAGGCTGCATAGAATCACCTGGAGCACATGTTAAAATAGATTCTGGGCCCACAGAACCAGGATGTGTGCATGAGAGAGCAGGGAATGGAGGCTCGGTATCGGAAGTTCTAGAACCTCGGGGGATCCATACGCTGCCATCTTCTCTCCTCCTCCCGCCTGCTCCCCTGCCCTTACTCCACACCCTTTCTGCCACGTCTGGCCCAGAGTCCATGGCAGCTCAGGTGAGTACCTATGCCCAAGGACAGAGCTGATCTAGATTTCCACTCCTTTGAGCATGAGGGACAACAGGCTCAGAGAGGTTAAGTAACTTGCCATCAGTTCACACAGCCCTTAGTATGCAGACGTGATTCAAAGTTGTGTCCACTGGCAGTGTCTAGTGATGCCCATGACCACAGACAGGAGGGAGGGTTTTCAGGGTGGGAGAGGAATTTAGCGCCCCCAAGGTGTGTGAGTGAGGGATGCTCATCCCTCTTACAGGGTCCCACCCAGGTCCTGTGGGCCCACCTACCGTCCAGCCTGGGGGGCAGGCACATTCTCCTGTGATGTGGTGGCAGGTGCCCCCATTCTGGCAGGGACAGCGCAGCTCACAGTGAGCCCCATGGCTCCCAGGGGGGCACAGCTCCTCACAGCTGCATGGGGAAGCAGAGGTGTTAGACATGGCAGCATTCGGTCAGACGGCAGGGCCCCAGGACTCCCTAGGAATTAGTGAGTTCACCATCAGCATGAACTGGGCTGCGGTTAGCTGAAATGCAGTCCTGCTTCCCGCCAGAAGGGGGAAACAGGGCTCGGATATAATGAACTGGAATGTTGAGTGCTTGGGCCAGTACCGGTGGGATGACTTGCGTGCTTAGAGTGTAAAGAAGAGCATTCTTCTGGGGAGGGAGGCTTCCGGAAGAGGAAGACATTTTATTTGGGTCCTGAGGGTGAAGTTAGTTTCACTGGGAGAAGGGAAGGGCATGCCAGGCAAAAGGAACAGCATGAGTAGAGGCACTGAAAAGCGGTTATCTATCCAGCTTTTAAGAATCCACCTAGATTCTTAAAGATTCAGGGAGAGGGAGTAACTGGGGCCTGCCCCACTTCCAGGCTCTGGAAGGTTCTCAGCTATCATAACAGTCTCTCGTGCACTGCTGAGGTATGAGGGAGGATTTGCACATGATCTTGGCCTTGAGCCTTAGGGCAATGGCCCCGGCCTCTAGCTGGAGCTGGCCCTGGAGCTGGCCAGACATCGGGGCAGGAAACATCCTCAATCAAGGATGTGTTCCTGGCCAGTGTCCTTGGGTGCCCTCTCGGGATCTAGGGCTATTGGGAGGCCACTGAACCTTCAACCAGGTGGGGAGGAGAACTTCAATCTTGCCTCTCAGGGAGTCTCAATTAAGCAGTCGTGGTGGCCCCTGTCAGTACAGACTCCAGAAAACTGGAGTGAGGGGCTGTTGGGGTCTGAGGGGAGAAGATGAGGGAGAGGAACAGGCACAGTAAATTCCCCGAATCTATGCATGATACCTGCCCAGGGCCCTCACCCACCTCTTTCTCAAATGGCCTCAAGAGGTCAGGACCCAGGTGAGGGGCGGCATTTGGGTTATGATCGGAGAATGCCAAGCTAAGGTCTGGGGCCCCGGACAGGAAGGTGGAGGAGTTTAATGAACTCCCCGGGCCATGCTTGGTTTCAGCTGGCACCAGTCACCCTGGGGCCTGGGTGGGAGGGACCTAAGACCTGCGTGGGAGACGCCTGGGTATTAAACCTCTGTTGGACTTGGAGTCACAGCGCCGGATATCCGACAGCCAGAACTGCCTTGAACTTCCTTCTGCGGCGACCACCTGCCTCCCCAGTCAGGCGCCAGTGGCGGACTGCGCAGCTGCGGGAGGGGGCGGCCCCGCCCCGCCCCTCGGCCCCCGCCCCCCGGGGGGCAGTACTCACTAGACTCCGGTGTAGCCCGGGGCGCAGAGGCACTGGCCGGTGCGGGGATCGCAGCTGGCTCCGTGGCGGCACTGGCACGGCAGCTGGCAGCCCTTGCCGTGGGTGCCGGGCGCGCAGAGCTCCTCGCAGCGCCAGCCGCGGAAGCCGGCGGCACACACGCAGGCGCCCGTGATGGGGTTGCACAGGGCTCCATTCTGGCACTGGCACCGGTTGCTGCAGTGGGGGCCCCAGTGGTCGCTGTCACAGCCTGCAAGACAGGAGCCGGTCAGGGCTGAGGGAGGGCCCTGAGGGGCTCTCCTTGGGATGGTGGCCAGCACCGGTGCCCCAACGGCGGCCTTCCTATCTCTGCATTGCTCTCTCCTGGAGAGGAGGCAGCAAGGGCCGTTTGGGCGGAAGCTTTGGTGCCTCATAACCTCCACCGGCTCTTCACTAAGTGACTCCAAATATTATACAAGCTAAGAAGACTGTTTCTTCAAAGCATCTCCTGGTCAGAGCCATCCCATTCCAACCAGTGCTTCCCTGAAGCCCCTCCCCTGGACTGAAATTCTGGAACCATAAACTGTTCACCTCCCTCTGGCTTTTCTAAATTCTTCTTGGTTGGCTGACTCTTTCTCTCAGCCAGGCTGTTTCTCTCCTGGTTTGCCAGCCCTCTTTTCTGTGACCCTACTCACCCCCTCCCTTTCTTGGTGCTTCCCCAGCCCAGCCCTGTCTTCCTAAAACTCATTAGTTTTCTCACCTCCTGTACCTCAGTTTCAGTGAACCTGTCTTCTACCTCCTTGCACCTCCCCTGGCTGACCCTATCTCCCTGTCACCCTTCCCATCTCTCTCTCTGCTGCTTCTCCCTTTCAGTAATGCCTACCCTCCCCGCCAACCCCGCCGCTCTACCCTCCCTCCCTGGTTGCTTCATTTTCAGTTCAATTTCTTTACTTTCCAAAGCCAACTTCAGAAGGACCAGGAAAAAGTAATGTTTCCCTGGGAGGGGACAGAGAGACTTCAGGATCTTTATATGTAATTAAATGTTTCAAAGAGCACTATCTGAGCCAGCTTTGCAGAAATTTCCACAGCTGTGAAAAGGGCCTGAACGGCAGAGCCCCAGGTAGGTCACCCAGCCTGCATCCACCTCCCACTCTGACCCTCATCTGGTGCATACAGGACTACAGGACACACAATAAGAAGGTGTCCTCAAACCATAGCCTCATCCACTTGAATCCTAGAGTATGGTGGATGTGGAGTTCAAGCATGGACATGGACAAGCACAAATAATGTTCTAGGAGAAGTTCAATGGAAAGATTGCTCCCAGCTAAGGAGACCAGGCAAGACTTCCTAGAGAGAGGGATCTGAAGTGGGCTGTCTCACTTGTCTGCCTATCAGAGTGACCAACTGTCCCAGTTTCAGCACTAAAATCCCACATTCTGAGAAATCCCTCAGTCTTGAGCAAACTGGAATGGCTAGACATCCTACCTCCCAAAGACGAGGAGATGATCAGTTGACTTTTGTGCTCCAGTGATTCTAGGGTTGAGACACCCAGGGAGGAAGGAGGCAGTTGAGTGGGATTGGAGAAGGTGTCACTGGGCAGACTCGGTATGAACAAAAAGATGGGGGCACTCGAGTGTTGGGCAGGTACAAGAGCACAAGGTTCTAGTGAGGCCAGTGAGTACATGGGAACTTTGGCATGATGCAGGCATTGATGGAGGAATCACTCCAGCAGCCCCACAAACTCCCCTGTACATATCTGCCACATGCTGATCAAGGGCAAGTGGTCAATGTCATGGAGCCTGATTATCATCCCTTAGTAGATGGAGCCAGCCTAGGCCCAAATCCCAATTACCCTATCTTGCTTTATTCCTTCTTCATCTGTGCCCCAAATATTCACATTTACAAACTGAGCTGCCGGATTATGAGTAAGTCTCACCCTGCATTTTCTACCTGGTACTATAGTGAGTGAGGCAAAATCAAGTCCAGTAGCCAAAAGCAATCTTGAGAAATAAGAACGAGGCTGGAGGCATCATGCTTCCTGATTTCAAACTGTAGTACAAAGCTATAGTAATCAAAACAGTATGGTATTGGCATAAAACAGACACATGGATCAACAGAACAGAGAGCCTAGAAATAAACCCATGCATATACAGTCATTTAATTTATGACAAAGGAGTCAAGAATATACAGTGGGGAAAGGACATCATAAATGATGTCAGGAAAACTGGACAGCCACTTATAAAAGAATGAAACTTGACCACTATCTTACATCATACACAAACATTAACTCAAAATGGAGTTAAGACCAAAGTGTAAGACCCAAAACCATTAAATTCCTAGAAGAAAACATAGGTGATAAGCTCTTGACATAGGTCTTGTGCTGATTTTCTGGATTTGACACAAGCAAAGGCAACAAAAGCAAAAATAAACTACATCAAACTAAAAAGCTTCTGCACAGCAAGGAAAACCATCAACAAAATGAAAAGGCAGCCTACTGAATGGGAGAACACATCTACAATTCATGTAACTGACAAGAGGTTAATATTCAAAATATATAAAGAACTCAAACTCAATAGCAAAAAAACCCAAACAATCCAATTAAAAAATGGACAGAGGGTCTGAATAGACATTTTTACAATGAAGACATACAAGTGGCCAATAGGCACATGAAAAGGTGCTCAACATCACTAATCATCAGGGAAATGCAAATCAAAACCACAATGAGATATCACCTCACATCCGTTAGGATGGCTAGTATCAAAAGAAGAAATAACATATGTTGGCAAAGATGTGGAGGAAAGGGAACCCTCATTCATTGGCATGGGAATGTAAATTAGTACAGCCACTATGGAAAACAGTATGGAGGCTCCTCAAAAAATTACAAATAGAACTATCATATGATCCAGTAATTCCACCTCTGAGTATTTATCCAAAGGAAATAAAAACACTAACTCGAAAAGCTATCTGCACCCCCATGGTCACTGCAGCATTGTTTACAATAGCCAAGACATGGAAGCAACCTAACTGTCCACTGATGGATGGATGGATAAAGAAGATGTGGTACACACACACACACACACACACACAATGGAATATTATTCAGCCACAAAAGGAAGGAAATCCTGTCATTTGTGACAACATGGATGGACCTTGAGGGCATTATGCTAAATGAACTAAGTCAGACAGAGAAAGACAAATACCATGTGATTTCACTTATCTGGAATCTAAAAAACAAAGAAACAGACAAGAACCAGACTCATAGATGCAAAGAAGAGATTGGTGGTTACCCAAGGTGGGGCATAGGAAGTGGGTGAAATGGTGCAGGTGGTCAGAAGGTACAAAGTTCTAGTTGTAAAATAAAGAAGCCATGGGGATGTAATGTGCAGCATGGTGACTCTAGTTAATAATGCTGTATAATTAATAATACATAAAAGTTGCTAAGAGGAGATCTTAAAGTTTCTCATCACAAGAAAAAAATGTGTAATTATGTATGGTGATAGATATTAACTAGACTTCTGGTGATCATTTCACAATGTATATAAATGTGGAGTCAATATGTTATATACCTGAAACTAATATATCAATTATATCTCAATTAAAAAATCAAGTCCAGTTATAGTTACAACCTCCACCCACAGTGGAAGAAGTTCATGGGACTGAGAGTAATGGAGTACCCAGCAGTCGGTGTCCCCCACCTCACCCACCCTCTGGGACATATATCAGCAAGTGGAAAGACTAGCTGAATTACCTCCTATACCATTTTCTACCTCTTTTTGTTGCCAAGCACACATAGTTGAATTCCTATAAATTTAATGTGTATATGATGTGACTCCATTGTAATGATAATGACAACCCCATTTTAAATGTTCACTTGTGACATTTAAAACCCTGTAAGTCAGGTTTTATTACTCTCCATTTTACAGATGGGAAATAAAGGGTCAGAGGGGTTAAGTGACGGTCCAAGGTTATAGACAAGGGTGGGCTCCGGTCTGGCTCCAGCAGTCTCTACTGCTGGTAAATGGGACACTTTCTGAATGACGATTCTGAGGACAGAAACTCTGAGGTGCCATTGGGCAGAAGGCGGCAGTTGCAAAGCGCGAGTGCAGAGATACCACGGAGGCTAGCCACTTCCTCTCTGTTCGTCACTGGGGACAACCCCAGCATCCAGAACAATGATTCCCTTCATTGTTAGGGCCATAGTTACTGCCCTCAGACCTTGACTCTGGAGGAAACTGTTAGAGTCCAAAGCCAGTTGGTCCTTGGTGCATCCCAGGGCATACAGTTATACTTTGCTTATCAGAGGTGACCTCTGATTCTCTGTGGCACAACCAAACCCCCAAACTGTAGGGTGTGCAGTCTCGTGGGGATGGAGATGCTAAAGCAGCATTGAAAGTATACCGCAAACGTGATACAGTAGGGGTTGTTCTGAACAATATAGAAGGGCATGGGTGGGTCTGAGTCCAGACTGGGGGGTTAGGGAACATGTCCTCAAAGAAGAGACTGGAAGGAGGGGTGAGCATGGGGAATGATCTATTCTACATATATTTCTAAGCAAAGGAACTGATATGTGTGAAAGCCTGGAGCTGGGAAAAAGCAAGACACGGGAGAAAATTTAAAAAGGAATATTACTCAGCCATCAGAAAGGATGAATACCCACCATTTGGTTCCAACATGGATGGAACTGGAGGGGATTATGCTAAGTGAAATAAGTCAAGCGGAGAAAGACAATTATATGGTTTCACTTATTTGTGGAACATAAGGAATACCATGGAGGACACTAGGAGAAGGAAGGGAAGAATGAAGGGGGGGAATCGGAGGGGGAGACGAACCATGAGAGACTGTGGACTCCGGGAAACAAACCGAGGTTTTTAGAGGGGCGGGGGTGGGGGGATGGGTTAGCCCGGTGATGGGTATTAAAGAGGGCACGTATTGAATGGAGCACTGGGTGTTATAGGCAAATAATGAATTCTGGAACACTACATCAAAAACAAATGAAGTACTGTATGGTGATTAACATAACATTAAAAAAAAAGATATGTGTGTCTGGAATATAGACTTTAAGGGAGGGCAAGGTATAGGTGGGGCAGCTTCCTGGGCAGGGTCCGAGGTCTAGGGCTTTGTGAGCTGTGTTCAGGGGTGTTGACTTCCCGCAAGGGCAGCCGGGAAGCTCTGGATGTACTCCAAGCAGGGGACAGACATGATTACGTGTGGCCCTAGAAAGACCGTGCTGGTGAGAATAGATGTGTGAACAGGAGAGATGGAGCAACAGTG